TCCTCGCAGGGCCGAGTTCACTAAATTAGTATCGAAGGAGTTTGCCCGAGCGGCGATGATTCAAGACTCCTACCATGTCAGCTCTCCCCCACCGACTAAATGGATTCTGACCAGAGCTTTACTTAGAATACAAGTATGAAGTGGTACAACATTAACTCAATTATGGCATCCAGGGTCGACTCAGACTCTAGCCTCGATCGCTGTGACGGTCAGTAAACCCGATGATACCTGTAGTCTACAGTTGTCAGAACAGATAGTGCTCAGTTTATAACTAAACCTCGGATAAAGATGTTACATTAGCATCGAATTTACTTGTCCACATTTTTGATTGCATATTCGAGGCCGCACGAGATATGACCAAGAAGAGCTACTTTAGAGGTCTCTTGTGCACGTTACTAAGAATGAAATGATAGATCTTGCCTGTGAAATCCACAGTTGTCTCGTGGCTTAGACTACGGTAATCTCTATGAGTGTGTAGAGCTTGAGACTGGGTGTAAACTTGTATTTCTCTTGACGTTATAAATACTCCATCTATACCTGAAATCTCCCATGCTCTAGATAATGCAACAATCAATAACACATGGCAAAGTGAACGATCAGAATACAGTAGGAATGAGTTGAATACTTCACCACCTGGACTGCGACCAAGCGATGAGAGGGATACAATCTTGACGTTGCCTTGAGAATCGGCGGCACTTCTAGACTCGGAGTTCAGGATCCCTACCTTGGCAGAGGTTACTTGGTATCTTCGGGAAAGTAACTCTAAGCCTCCACAGACAAGATGAGAAGCTTCTGGAAAGTTTAGTATTGAAGGTGCGTGATACTTCCTCTAGATAGAAGTAGAGGAAACATATGGTGGAACATGTAAATACGTGGGCGATCCCTCACACCGCTCGCAATAAACCGAAATTTACACTACCATCATCTGCACAAATTCGAATTGATTAGATAAGATTAAAAAGTATGTGGGGCCTAATCCGGGACCGAACCGGAGATCTCATACATTCAGATCCCCGAAGCAAGAATTCTACTAATGAACTATCAGGCCGGTGCAATATCCGAATAACCAAGAGTCATGTTCGTCTGAAGTTGCTGTCTCTTCGCCCTTGACTCCGCCAATTATCCTGAAGCCAATCAATAATCTTCCAAGGAACTTAAGAGGATAGGAGCACTGTACAAGGTGTGGCCTGGGTCAGAGAGGAGCCCGATGTGCTAAATAGTTAAAGACCCAAGTAGTACAATAGACAACAACACACACATATCCTGAAGGCAAAAGCTCGTGAACAGACGAGATAATGAGGATATTTTTACACCAGTTCATCTACTATTGTGCCGATACACCATCCGTTTTTGTTCTACGACAATAAGTAAATGGCTTGCAAGCAGTTATGATATCCACTTTTCTCTGAGCGCTGACTAAATCTTGCAATTTCTGTTGTCTTTCTCGGAAAGAAGCGCTTAGATTTCGCTGATTTCTCTGGGTTCAATGATGACGCTGAAAAATGAAGTCGAAAAACTACAGTTCCCAACGAAATTAGTTTTAGATTCTAACCGAGAATTTCGAGTTTCAAGTTCTCTTCTACTGACATAGTCTTCCTGGAGCTTAATGCGTTGTGAGTTCACTCGGCGAGTTTATTCTATTACTTTGTTGGTCAATAATAGGTTCTGTTTGTATCTGGTTGTCATATAAGTTTGCTTCCCTAAGGAATGACTCAATTCTCGTCCTTCTAGAATTAACGTATCGTCCATTCACATCAATCTAGACAGTCCTCTTATCTATTCATTCTAATTTGTATGGAGGCTTGTCCAAACCTTTTCCTTCCCCAAGCACAACAACCTCGAAAAAAAGAGTAAGATCATAGATAAGCTTAGTATGTGGTCTATTTCACATGTTCAGTGCGTTAGCTACTTTAAGTACAGCGTGGCATTTTATAACCTCTGCCATTACCTTCATTACTGTGGCAGCTCGTGTCGTTATTGAAACTGATGGGGTATTAGATCGATTTAAACGCGGATAAGGTCCAAAAACGAGTACTGCTGAAACTAATCTATTCAGACCGGTAGTATGATTTACAACCTTATGTGGCATTTATAATTCCATGTCTTTTGGGAATGTTGGTTTTTCTTCAATGATTATTCAATATTCTTGTTTTAGTAGGACCTGGCATTTTTTCACTCGAACAATTGAGGTATTGATTTTGGCCGGCTCTTGTAATGGTTCTATGTTCATTACTCTAGTATTATCACACAACTCTTGGGCACTGAAATTAGAGCCTAGATCATGTGCAATATAGGATAGGGGTTCTAAAAAAGTATTGATCTAGACTTCTTTAAAGTTATCCAACGTATGTCTAGCTGATATATACTTGAGAAATCTTTCACCCTGAAAAATAGTGTTTTATCGACGATTTCGAGAAGCAGGCCATCGACCACTGTAAGAACATCAATAACTATCGTATGATCGTATTGGTTGTCATTGCCATCTTTCAAAGTGAACTTTAATCTGCCTATTGCTCATACGTTAGTTTGATATTGCTCATGGTAGTCATTCAATTTTTTAAGAGTCTCAAAGTTTTTGTGAAAGCCAGCGTGCTGTAGAACCTTTTGAAAGCGTGGTACTAAAGGATGACAAAATCGACGACGTAAGCGCCAGACTTCGATTCCAGAAAAACGGGTGTTGTATTATCCATGTGACTTGCCATGGTACATGCTTTAGGTTACGTCATAGCATATGCACGTGACTGTGGAACTAAACCGTGGGGTTTTGGTTTGTTTTCTTCATTAACGTACTAAGATACATGTCTATCTAGCACATTGGGCTCCTCTCTGACCCAGGCTACACCCTGTACAGTGCTCCTATCCTCTTCAGATCCTTGAAAGATCATTGATACATTCTCCTTGATGAACAGGCATTCAACTCAGTGTTTACCCGTAGAATTCGGCCGCCTTTTCCACGGAAACTTCTACCAAAATAAAAAAACCAAAGAAAAAGGTAGCAATGGAAATTGTGTGCGCGGGAAAAAGTCTCAAAAAACCTACTGCCCCAGCCAGGTGAGGCCTAGACATCGTGTCCACATGAGGTGCGCACATTCATCTAGATCTTCCTTCTTTGTAACAGTCGAGGTCGACTTGATCCAATCCACCATCTCCGTATCGGGTGCTGGGTACGCTCCGGAAACTCATCTGATAGCTTCTCCCCCACCACCCATGATGGATTATAAATAGGGGTTAGACCCTACCATCTAATCTGATTTTGGTTAGAACCATGATAATGGTGATAGGAGGATATGCTTAGGGGAGAGGACGATACAGACCGCGAAAGCGAATGGAAATCCTCATCGAAAGTAAAACGAAGGTATTACTTAAGTTCAGCTCTGTAGACCCTACAATGAGAGCTGAAGGCTCTGAAGGAATACAGCTGACAGGTATCAAGTTTTCATTCCCCGTACATCACTTTCATCCTGAGACCCGAAAGAATTGTGTAATTAGGAAGAGAAAAATGTCTATATTCCAAAGAAGGGTGTGCTAATAATCACTTCTGTTCCGAATGCCTGCTAGCGTTCCATAAAAGTCGAGAGAAAAAAAAGAGGACGAGTTGAGCCTTGATTTTAAAAAATCGTATCGTATTCAGCCATCTAAGACCATCGAACGAGTCGAGCCTCTGAAATAACAATCAAAGGGATAGCGCGTAGAACTCTTAGGACCGCAACGGATTGGCAGAGGTTTCTCACTGTCCGCATCAAAGATACTTTCAATACTCTGAAACAAACGGGTTGATTCATAGTCTTTCTAAAGACGGCAGGTTTCTAGAGTAGTATCTTAATAAAACACTCGTCTTTACCTATTGAAGTGGAGGCATGTATTGTACGATGTTTTTTTTTATATTGTATAAATCTACGGTGATTAACGGGGAGAGGGGCGTGAGAGGGTTTAAAATTTCCTTTGATTGCTCTTTGTCATTTCGTTGCACAATATTGGGGCAAATGAACCAAATTCTAGTCAGCCCAGTCTACATAGACTACCTAAGGAGTGGGCGCCTCTATCAGAGCCCTGCTAATTAGAGATGGGTTGTGCTAGTGCCCAGTGCCTTGGAAAGTCAGCAAAGAATGACTACCTCTGATGACCCTGTAGGTGATACCTTCTCAAATCTAATTCTTCTCTTCTGTCCGCTTCAACGTCTACACCGCCCATCATTTCCCCCTTTTTACCCGTATAATTTGTTATCTTCATTGTTTATTTGTACTCAGTATGCTGAGAAAAATGACTTCCGTACGATTCTAGTGTTATATCTTTCGTTTTCCACCCTGTATTTCCCGGAACCCCAAATATAGCTTCCTTTAAGATGATTTTAAATTGGTTTACCAGGCCGTTGATTCTTCGCTGATCATAACGGGTGATAGGGCCAGTCTTTAGAGTATGGTCGGTAGGTGCTGGCAGAAAAGATTGCGAGTTGTGGTCTGGCTAATTTAGCTTCTGAAAACTAAAGAGAAGATAATCGATTTTTGTATCATAGGAGCGATCTAATACTCTAGCAGGCTCATATTTACCGTGGCTGATACGAAATTTAAGAGTCCTGTAGCTTGAAGTCTGATGATCTTAGCTCAGAACAATCGAGCCTTGTACTATATTCAGAGTAGCGATGAGAATCAATGGATAGATTCGACCAAAAGTCAAGTGAGGAACATGCAACCAGATTTTAGGTGTATTTTCTTAGAGTATAGACCAAACTTTCGCTATCTAATTTCTTTTATATCACATATACTTAACATTTCTTCCTTTTAGCATCCCCTTTTTCTGCGTGTCATACAATTGCATTTTTTCCAATATCTAGCCGATATTCCTATACTTCAAAACCAAAAACATCATTACCCACCCATGCTTTGAAGAAGCCTTGACTCCGAGTTCCCTTACGCTAAACCCCTCAAAATATTATTTGCCCTTGGAAGAATCCATTGAAAACTTTAATTTGAAGCTGAAAATGAGCGTCCATAGTAGATAGCCTAGTTTTCAAAAGAATATACTGGTTCTTCATATTTTGGTGGAATTTTTGCGTTTGCTCCTGCATCTTCAATTTCGTAGTCATTTGACGTTTCAACTAGGACAGGAATGTGAGGAGCATTACCACATATGCTGCTCGTAGCCCCTGTCACCCAATCGACTATTAAGAATTCTCCATTAGCAACAACAATATTGCTCTTTCGAGGAGTACGACTATTAAGAACCGCCAAACATCGTGTAGCATACAACATGTCGTATGAGTGTGTCCAGTAGTGACAAGGTCGCCATTTTTCAACGTCTTCCGAAGCGAAAGTTGTCTCGTCCGAGTCCCTAGTTGGTGAAGGTCTAAGCATGGAGCAGAGCTGTCGCGAAATAAATGTGTAGCTTCTGCGTGCAAAAGATGGACGTGAACTGCGAGCTGCACGACGAGCTCTGATCTGACTATTTGACGGACGACAGAGGTAAGCTTCGGACTCAAAAGACGATATGTTACCGGGATGAGATCGATTATTTGTTGTTGGATGAAGATTACGTCTGTATGAGCTCGTATGGGGGTTGCAATTTTGGCCTGCTGATCGTGATGTTGATCTAGGTTCATTATTTATCTGCTGAGAATCTCTATTCACTGGAGCTTCTCTCATTGACCACGCTAATGTGTGGATGCGCCGTTGACGCCGAGGTAGACTGAAATCCTCAGGGTACTCTCGATCATCAAGAGGAGTAGCTAAGTCGATAGCCGCACTGAGTGATTGTATCCAGGTTACGAATATTTCTAGATTGGCGCAAGAGAGCAAGAATTGCTCTGTTTCTGCGCGAACCCGAATGACGTAACGCTTCCTATTAACTTATCAGCAATAGACCTAGTGAGTGAATTCACTGAGATGTAGCTGACTTGTTGTAATCTGTTGCAATCCCCACCTGAGCGTAATGAAGGTTATAGCTTCGAATTGAGTAATCGATATTTTGGCATCCCGATTTCTTTTTGTCTGCTGATTTCCGGTAGATATTGAGAGCCGTACCTTGGAGAACTACAGAAACCCTGCTCCAGCTCCGGTTGACAGCACGCTGAGCTGGACCTTCGAGTTCCATTTTTTGGTTGAAGATATTTGAGAGGCTGATGGATGTCGAATATGCAGGGAGAGTTTCTTTGCCTTCGTCTTCTCGAGGTTGCACGCTGACATTCTGAAGGCGCGAGGGAATCTTTTCGTCGTGTGGAGATAGCTTCGACTGTTTGAGTTGTTCCATTATGTCACTGCTAACACTTTTGGATAGTTATGGGATGTGGCTTTAATATCAAGAGATCAAATCAGTTTTGTGGCTGCCGTAATATTGAGTGAAACTTCTGTCTCAGTTCGAGCGTATCAAAGCAGTGAGTTCCAGAATGAGGAGTCGGAATACCCCTACTCTCTGATGAGAGGTTGTTCGAAACATCATGTGGGGTGAGGGGGAGAAGAGCAATGTCAAGGGAAACTAAAACAGATATCTCAAGAGGTATCATATGTATGCTGTAAGTAAGAAATTAAAGAGGCCTAAAACGCATCGGGGAAACAGTATTTTTTCTCACAGCAATATGATGAAGATTTTCATTAATTTTGTAATTAATTTCCGCTAGATTATTCTTGGACCAGGGCTGTATAACTATCAACTTTGTGTTCTGTGTGTGTCAATTGGTGATCAACTCAGGATGCCTCATCGTTTGGAGAGACTAGTCCGAGGGATCGTGGAGAGAAGAAACCAAGTCTATTTCGATTAACGGTCTGATCGTCATATCCTCGCACATTTTCGCGCTTGATTGGAGGTTTATCATGAAACATTCGGGTTACAGATGGTCTGTGGAATACTCGTTAGGGTCTATGAACGTATAAAGAAGGCCATGTGTTAGCGTAAGATTGGTTAGCCCTTCATTAACGGTTCACATAAATGGTTTGATACGACATTGCGTTGGTCATCCCCCTTCTGAGGAGACGTATGGGGTTTTTGGTGGTAGATGGGATTGCGTGTGTGAATTACATCTCCCCGGGACTATTCGTAGGACTTGGCAAGGAGGCTAGTCAATTGCATCATAAGTCACATGTTGTGTGGGGTTCGGGAATGCTCTCATCAATTTTAAGTGACTGTTCGATAGAGATGTGTGTGTGCTATGCATTCAGTCACCTTCTATGGCTAATTATCGTCGCTCAACTCAGTAATGAGACGATGATGTTTATCGGTCGTTGAACTAATTTTGACACTTTTTTTGTATCATTAAATGCATGCAGCTATCTAACTATGACCCCTAATCAGCACTATCTGTACACTTTGGATGATTATTTTGACTAGATACACACAGACTCTAGATTTCATTCGCAAATACCACTACGGTGCATGTTTGTTTACGCAGAATAGGCGACCATCCTGCTTAAACACTCACCAAAGAGAAATTCAAAATCTTTGATCATCCAAGCTCACCAGTACCGCGGGGGACGTAGTCGAGCTCAGCCGCATTCGAGCCTCCGATCTCCTGTATGAAGTGGGAAATATATCCAGCCTATCCATAATCTACTTCACAGATCGGCCCGGGTGATGTACCACTGCGCCATCTAGCCATAATCATGCCCATGGTAACACCTTCACTCTCACGATCGGGGGCTTGGCGTACGTAATTCACATTAACTTGGAAAACTCCAGGCTAATATGCAAAACCTCCCATCTTTTAAGATAGTAACCATCCTTTACGTCATCTTGTACAACTACCCTGAAACCTCCAACGACCACCCCTCAGCTATATCTTCTAGATATGTGCATCACGACTTGTTACCTAGGGCATGTATTATTATTCCCATGCAAATGTATTTGGGAGCTAGACACTGAGTCGACGATAAATGTGGACATTGAAACGAGCATATAATAGAATAGAACTAAATTTTAGTTCCTAATGAGTCTATGACTGTGAAGGACTGCTAAAAGTAGACAATAAACCACCAAAATTCACTTGTTTTTATATGTGCTGTTTTTTCAATCTTTTCCAATAGACAATGAAGACTTTACCCTGAGAAGAAACGAGAATGTACCAGGTAGAACTTGTAAACTTGATGAGGCCATGATGGAAATCGGTCTCTTAAGGAATAATAGAAGAGTCTAGTGCACTCAGACTATCACATGCAGAAGACTGGATTAATAAATATTGGATAACTTTGTATGTAGCAGGTATTAGAAGATGCGGTCCTAATGAAGTGCACATCCTATAATATTTTTAGACTTATATAGGATGTAAATGGATTAAAAAAAAAGAGTAAGAGATGGTGAGGTTTGGAGTCTTGAATCATTACTTCGTGGATAGAGTCCTTTGCTACCACAAGATTTGACAGGACTTGACTCTAGGAGAATATTTCACACACAGGACCATGAAGGATGGCGCAGACAGCTTTTCAGTCTCACCTTCTCATAAATACCTTTTTTTTTAAACATTTCATGTGTATTCAGCTATAGAGTTATGACACATGACCGGTGCTATGTATACATGTTGGATGACTCTTTTGACGTTAGAGACACTCATACTCTGTATTTCATTTGCAAATACCACTATGAGGTGTGTTCGCTTCCACTAACAGTCAACCCTCCTCCGTTAGTACCCACCAAAGGGAATTTCAAAATCTTTGATTATCCAAGCATGTCTTCGTCATCCATGCCCCTGGTGAACCAGTAATGGGGATCCCACCATCAAATTAAAGAAACCCCAATTAGAATGTAAAAGATAAGCTGTATTTAAATAGTCTGTCCTACATAGTTGTAAACTCAAATAGGACATAAATGGATTATTATTATTATTATTATTATTATTCGTCATCCATGTAGACTAGCCCGCGAGAAATGTGGTTGTGTTTTGCCGGATTCGAACCAGCAATCTCCTGTCTCAAGTGGGATATGTGTCCAAGCTATCCAGACTCTATTTGGCAGACCAGCCAAGACGATGTACCACCGCACCATCCAAACATGGCGGTGTTTATAGTGTCGCATGCACTCTCGCAACCCAAGTCTTGGCACGCACAAAGCTCAATTTGTATAAACTTCTTGCCAGACTTAAAAATTCCACGCCAGTTGAGACTGTATCCATCCTCCGCATCATCTCGTGAACTTATACTGATTCCTCTCACGTCCATCCCAAAGAACAGTCTCCCAGATTTGTGCGCCACGCTTTGCTTCCTCTGTCGGGTACAGATATCGGCGTGGGCGTTTATTTGGTGAGCGGCTGAGGCCAAAGAAAGTCGACGAGAGGTGTGATTATTGGAATGAGGATGTACTAGGTCGTACTTGTAGACTTGATGAGGCTTAGGTAGGAATTGATCTCGTTGGGAGTGAAAATTTGACGTGGTGGAGTAGTTTGAATCATTGCCTCGAGAGGCAACTTGTTCGGTATTGCGAAATTTGACTGAACTTGGCTCTGGGAGAATATTTCACTCCCAGGTTCGTAGATCACACCGCGTACAGGTGTTCAGTCTTGCCCTCCGTATATATATATATCGCGCACTTGAGTTCTCAATAATACGATGATGCTTCCAACTACATTCACAATGTCACTACCTACTCTGAGATAATCACCCATTTCTATGTTGGCCTTGTCTTCAAATTCATGTCTTTTCGCCCTTTATCTTAATTGACAGATCATGATATTCTTCGTCTTGCTGGCCATCATCAAGCTCAGAGTATTGACAGATTAAATCTTTAACACTACCATCTGATCTGATCGTGCTTAGCTTCATGATAGCGGTAATAGGGGTATGTGTTGAGAGATGAAGACCATACAGACCGCGAAAGCGATTGGGAATCCTCGTCGAAGTGAGGGCTTTGTTACTCAATTTCGGTTCTGCAGACTCTACAGTGAGAGCTGGAGGTTCGTAGGAGACACTACTGACAGGTGTTGAGAGTAGTCCCCCTTCTTGCCATCAGAGATTTAGCCGCCATTTGGTTGAGGAACACACAAAGACGTGCTTGTCACTTCACTTAGGTGATGGTAAAATATGTACAAAAACACTTCATTCCCTATTCTATCCAACTAGAGCTAGTAATACATATTGAGTGTTAGTAATCGAGTCCATGCCGTTTACCTAAGCAGACACGCCAGTACTCCAAACACTATGAGTTACATAACTATCCACAACGATCAATCGATCAAGTATAACAAAGGTGCTCGCCATTCTCTCCTTAATTCATCTCGTCTTCCACAGGTGAGTGCAGGGTTGATGTTTTCACTGTCTCAAGTGTGGGAATCAATCGGTACTCTTGTCTTCGCCCATTGTGTTGGCCTGAGGTTGTCGCGATAACTATCATTGTACCCAGTATCCTGATGGGCCGCTACAGAATGTAAATCCGATGTACTACGAGGAACTGGCAGACATCAATGGGGACCGAGAGCGAAAAGTGTGGAAGCTATAGGTCTGCAGAGTCCAAGCCAGTCTCTAGCCTGATTCCCCTTGGATGGCTGTAGGCGACGCTCTTCACATCGGCTAACAAGCCACCGTCCAACGGCCAACTTCTCAACCATTCGATTGTCCCAGCGTTCACAGCGCCAAGTCTAAAGCATTTTCTGAAGAAGAATCATAGCCTTGCATGAATTTTGTTGGCGGTGGAAGCATGACAGCCCAACAGACCAGCTCCATCAAGTAGTGAGGGCATAAGTTCAGAGAGATACGCTTCCCCCCGCAGCCATCACCGCGAGAAATTGCGACCAGGCACACAAGCACCCACATTTTCCTCACTCGATGAATCGTGGCCGCGAAGGCAGAAGTTTGGGGGGGAACAGCAGTATGGCCGCGTCGAGTGGAAAATCCCGAAACACGACGGCCTAAGACGCAGCGCTGTGAAGGGTTAGTTGGATCCCGGGATATTTCGGACTGGCAGGCGTCGAAGGCGTGGGCTAGCCTGCTCGAAGCGAGCCGTTCCCGCTAGAAATGGCGAGAATGAGATTACGGGTGGCCCTCGCCCCATCGAGACGCAAATGTTCAAGTCGAGATGTGCGGCGAGGAACCGCGGCGTCGCATCTAGAACTGGGCTTGGTGAGTCCCAAAACACCAGTGTCGCTCGAGTTTACGAGGTGCAGCTCCGCTGCAATCATGGCGGATAAATTCAGGTTTCACATGGTTTTCTCAAACTACCGATCGCAGAGCGATTAAAATGCGGAAGAAATAACGGTGATATTTCAGTCACTTCGATGGGACGAGTAGCAGTCGGAGTGCGGTGGGTATAGGTTATTTGAAGTGTCAATATATAGCTACGAAAAACGAGCCATGAGCGCTACAAGTTGTGTCGTCGAGTAGGTTACAGGGGATGTGTATGATTCAGAGAGTGTGAGTACGCAGGTACATCTAGGACACAGTGAGAGTGGAAAGGATTATTAGTCCGTGCCACACATTGCTTTATTACAACGAAAAAGATGAAATTTAGTCTCCCGTCAAGTCATAACAGCACCCGTCCAGCTACCCTTTCTTAACGCTACTCAAGGCCTTAGGTAGTGCACAGATGTATGGGGTAAGTAGCGGCTCTCATCATTGCTGAGTTCTCCCGTGATGTGAACCGTCTGACGCGAGACCAGTAAGGTCAAGGGAGAAAGTTGGTAGAGGTAAATTTCAAGAGTCATGACATCGTCTCACTGAGCCATCACTCAATTTAGGTGGAGCCAGTCACATTTGTGGTATCTTAGATAGACGTCGAACCCCAGCGTTTCGCTGAGGGCGAAAAAGACGCATTCGGCTCATAGCACGACTTATCCTGACGAAGGTCTATCAGCGGCGTAGAGCAAAGACATTGCTTCGCAAGCTTCACGGCCTAGCGACGGTAATTCAGCTGCCGCCTCGCGGATATCCTCGACCATGGTCTCTGCGCGCTCCAAGAGCCTGTAAATTTCGGCGCGCTCATTCCGTATCTCCTTGACGAGTCCGGCGTTTAGAGACTCCAGAGTTTGCAGCTTGGCGTTGAGCTGGCCCTGCTGTGCGGCATAGAGGGGAGCGAGGCGCGCTGCGATGAGCTGGTCGGGCGCCAGTGTATGCGAGGGTCTTCCCTGGCTGGTCAGAGGAGGCCTTACTTAACTACAGGTGTGGACCTACTTACTCGGGAGAGGGTTTGTCGCCGTCCGCAGCTAAGGCGCGACGTTGCCGCGCGTCGGCAATGATGGTCTCGAGCTCATTGAGCCGACGGACGACAGCACGCTCCTGCAAGATCATCTCGAACTCACGGCTGGCAAAGCTTTCGAGACCGTCGCGCATTCCCTGCCACATAGCACGGAGGGCAGTAGGCGCCTGCGCTGCGATGAGTGGAAAGCAGGCCTCGAAAGATTCATAGGGGACCGATCTTAGGGTCGACTGCAGTGCTGAGTAATAGAGAGTGACAAAGGCCTTGGCTCGAGGGCCAGGCGTCAGTGATTGTGACTCCGCGCTGAGGTTGGTAGAGGAGTGATTCGCTGAACTCATAACACTCGTGGCTCTGACCTTTCCTTCGTTGTTGTTCGGCAACAGTGCCCATGGTCGCGTTGGTAGACCTTGTGCCAATCTAATCAGGTAGGGCTGAAACCTAGCCTTGCAATAAGGCTGGGAGAGGAATTCACGACAAAAGTGCTTTACTGGATTCCATACATGCTGAATCTAAAATTTTCGCTAAGAAATTGCGTCATTAGGATTATTCCCTGTCATTACTACATCACTTGATCCTCTCTCTCCGGGACCGTCTCGCCGACTACGTTCCTGTCTTCGACGTCTCCGCCTTTCTGCCGCTGCTTCTCCATTATCACCACTCACATTAGGACTCATACCGCTCCATGCCTCAGGACTGTCAGGACTACCAAGCCTTGCCGTCGCCAAGAGACCGCTACCACTGGCCCCGTGCTTATTTGGGTAGGAAGAAGGGTCCTTAGACTTAGCTACAGAGATTGCCGTAGGGCTAGGCGGACAAAGCGGCGGCATTGTAGATAATGCTAATGATGGTGGCTCGGCTCGCTGCTCTATTGTATACTCAGGACGGCGGTAGCGACGATTTGAAATATTTGTATCGACAGCACTGATACTCGAGAGAGATTCTGGCCTCCTTTGCCGCCTTTCGGCCATCCGAGCTTCTCTAGCTGCTGCTGCTTCTTCCTTAGTCAGTCTTCGCAGCGTTACGTGATTCTTGTCGTCATTATGAAGTTTTAGTTTGACGCTCACTGGCGTGTAACGACCATCCATAGAATGTCGTGAATTCCCTCCAACATGACTTCTAGTCTTCCTTCGCTGTTCTTCTTCTTCCGCAGCTAGGGCAGCCGCTTCTGCAGCGGCAGCTGCTGCCGCCACCTCTCCCTTTCTCTGGCGCGACGAGTTTCGTCGCAGGGGCTGCTTTGGTGGTTGACTGTCGACTGCAGATCTGGATGCGTCGTTTAGACTTCTGATTGAAGCTTCAGACATACCTGGGGCCGCGGAGGTCACTCCCGTAGATCTCTCATCAGTGCTGTAGGCCCGATTTTGGAATGGAGTTGCACCAGGACCAGGTATCAATGATACCGGTACAGGAGAGGCAGCCATTGGCTGCACAACAGACCTACTATCATCAGAGGAATCAGGTGAGTCCAAATCAGATGTATAAACAGTGGAAATACACTCGTCATTAGGACGCACAAGCCTGTCTGCTGTTGGGCGCGACGAAGACTTACTTCGTCGTGACTTTTGTTTCTCTTCAGTATGGACTGACTCGCTTTTTTCCCGTTCCTCTGATTCCTTCCGTTCTCGTCTTTCTTTCAGCTTCTGTGCTATCCAGCCCATTCCGAGAACGGCAAACATGTCATTCTGACTTCTTGGGCGTCTCTCTTGTCGTCGCGGTAGCGAGGCTGCTGTAGAATCATAGTAGCTTTCTGACTCGTAAGAGTTGCGACGATGTGCATTTTGCGGAGTCGATGAACGTAGTTGCGAGGCTGGCAATCCACCAGCCGCAACCACCTCTTCTTCTCTGGGAGATGTGTTCGATCTCTTAGACCGACCAACTTCTTTGCGCTCCACAGACGTCGATCCTTCGTCATATCTACTGTCCAATTCTGGCTTCCGTAGTTTTCGTGGGCTAGAGTCAGATGACATGGAAGAATAGTCATCGTCCTCCTTACTTCTCTCCCTCTTTTCGTGCCAATTTTTGACTATAGCGGCAGCACCAATACCTGCTATTACCTTGTAAAATTTGTCCATTATCCCATTATCTCTGGGCTGACCACTATTTACATCGGTCTCAACATAACTTTTAGTTTCTTGACGGCTATCTAACTCGCTGGAAGCGAATTCCTCTGTTTTACTCACGTTTTGGTTCCTTCGATTTTCGTTTCTGCGACTCTGATCTTTTCGATTATGACTTCTGTGGCTTTGATTTCTGCGATTCTTTCTTTCGTCAGTATCATTAATTGGGATAGCTGATTCGGCATTTGTCGCGAATGGTGGTGCTAAATTTCCATGTTGTCTTGCTGTTTGGCTTTCAATTATAGTGCTCTCGTGTGAACTGTCGATTTCCTTGTGAAGGAGCAAGGGTCGAGCTCTACAGCTTAGAATAAAAAATATTATGACCAGGAAAGCCATCCAAAGAGCGTAAAGTATGAAGGTGTATTTGGGACTGCCATATAGAGCCAGGCCCAAGGGAGCTTGAGCAAACCCTAGCAGTGCTGTTATTCTACCGATCCAATGGTGTAGCATTGATATAATGGGTAGCTTTCTTGGGAGCATCTTGCGGCTTGTTATGTTGATGAAATATCCTGCCAGGCCTTGTACCAGTACTAGGACGTAAATTGCCATTCCAATACCATGATGTGGATTTGTGAAGCTGCGCGAAGGGCCGACTGCGAACCATCCAAGCGTAAAGACGACGGTGGATAGAAGTATAGTAAGAACTTGGAGGTATATATGCACTCGTGTTGCCCAAAATTTTGAGCGCTTGTGAAACTGGGCTACCATGATTGCAGCGGGTACGATGAAGAGAAAGGTGATGACAGCCAGGACACCATGTCCAGCAATTATCTTATGATACTGCGGAAGGCTTGCGAAACGGTTCCCCATACCTGTTTGCTTAAGTCAGATATTGGTAATTCAAGTTTGGGATCCAGGGCGGGATACCATTATACCGCATCGTCTCGAAGTTCAGGCCAACTAGGTTAGGGAGGAGAAAAGTGTTCCGAGTAGAATCCCAAGTTCCATCCCCAACGTACATTGTCGGTGATGAGTAGGTGCTGCTCCCGGCAGGGGATAGAGAATCTGTGGGCGCCATTCCCAATGGCTATGCCCAAAAGGCAGCCAGGTCACTTTCTTGTATTCTCGATTAGATATCAGCTTTTATCAAGGCTTTGGAGAGTTAACTATGGCGAGGACAATTTGGGTTGCAATACGGTCCAGATCGACGAAAGTTTCGCCGTTTGGATGAGAAGTAGTTGGTCGAAGATGGAATTGAAAAGTTGTTGAGACTACACTGATAATGTGTGGCAGATGTGCAACCAGCAACTGTATTATGCAGCTTATTGCTGGGTACACAAGCAATTTTTGAAGCTCATGAGAGGTCTTGGCAACTGACAAGAATATACAACTAAGGCAAATCTCATTCGACAGCAAACCGGGGCACGATGAGATTCACTATCTTATTGAATTTAGCGACATTTCGTTCGCAGGACAACAAATCTGATGGTCCGAGCTTTGGCCGGGGAATGGAAGAAGAGAGTCGCGCTAACTCGAACTTTAGTGCCCCGAGTCAGAGTTATTGACGGGGCCCATAAGTCATCCCTGGTGATGGCTGGATTCATGACGATATCGACGACTGCCACGCGCATTCATCGCCCCAAAACCAGTGCTGGTGCAATTCTTGCAGATACCCCGCCTATTGTGTCAGCCTGCAATATTCCAGCGAACAAGGCCTTTCAATTCCGTTCTCCCGTTATCTGGAGTTTCTTCAACTGTATCGGGCATGAAAATTGAAGGATTAGCCATCGTCCCGACCAGCCAAACTTTAATTAGACAATTGCAGAAGTATGGGTGGGTGTGAAGTTTAAATGTGGGCTTGCAGCATTCAAGTATGATTGGTGGCTCAATCTCTTTTCGTACCTCAACGATGCCTCTTGAGTAATCCTAATCGTAGAGATATAAGGCCTGTTAGTTTGGAATTCTCCGCACATTGCATTTAAGGCTGCGGGCGCGATACTTGCCGACTCCATTAATAGCCGAATGCTTGACATGTTCCCGACGTCGCTTCCAAGTCTGTGAATTTTCACAAGTATCAAGACCCGAGTCAACAATTTAAATGAGCCGGAACAACCATCACTGTTGATCACCAATGCAATTATTAACACCAGTGTTCGCTTGTAACTTTCTTTGCCATCTTCTACTTCTTGGCGCTATTTCAACGATCACATGCGGGCCATAGCTATCGATGGTGCTGACACACCTCCCCAGTATCTGGAATATTAGATTTTACGCTGTCGCGTTGGGTAGTGTCGATTTACCCGGCCTCCTTGAAAAAATCACTCGCGATGGCTCTTAGGGGCTGAGGCGAGAAAAGTAAACTGAAAAGCGGGGGTTTCTTTTGTTAACGTGAAATCGTGATGTCACAGTCGAGCATTTTATAGAAGTGGAGTGAAGGGAAATTGAGAGGCTCAACCTCAGCCACATAATATATCAATTTGTTCACGTGAACTACTAAACTTCGCCGTGGCCGATGAGGGGTAGAGTAGAACACAGTCATATACCTTGTCTTCTGAACTTACAACCACAAGTCACTGTTTAGCGTTGTATGTAAGTTTGATGGCATTAACGTTTTCTACCGACTATCAGATGGCTTGCCCTATTGCATATCATTAATTTACATGCCTTGCCATGATATTTACACGGATAGTCTAATTTGCAGATTCATTATTGCCAGATAGTAGGTTTTTGCCTTGATTCAAGCCTTCGCATATTAAATTGATGCGGATGAGGAGGTTGAAATATAACATCAGTCAGTGATGCCCCTCGCCAATCTCCGGCTGTTTGGATATTTCAGTCAGAAATTATAGAAACTACTCTCTCGAGTAGAGTCTGGAGTTTGGAAATCCCTCTTACTTGAGGTCGGGAGTCGCTGAGTTGAGCCCAGCACCTCTGCACCACATTCCTTGCGCTTCTTGTTCGTATGGATGACTAAGGGTTTGAAACTTTTATTGAGTGAAATTTCATGGACATAGACCTATTTTTCTGCGTTAACAATCAAACCACATGGTGGTAAACAAATAAATTATAGATTATGGACCTCACCGATTCCAAGATCCATCTGGTGTGTAAATAAAGTACCGAAAATATATCGTAGCTAGATAGCTGAATACAAATTTGATAATGTAAAAACCCTTCACCTCTCACTGTAGATCCTACCGAACCGAGAACAAATTCAACACCAGCCATAAAGCCCCTTTTTTAAGCGATTCTTCGGTGAGTTTATTTGTTTATTGTGCTGCTCGAGCCATAGATTATCTAGCACATTGAGCTTCTGTCTGGCCCGGGCCACACCTTTTACAACGCTTCTATCCTCTTTTGTTACTCAAAAAATCATTGATATATTGCCCGCTATGAATAGCCATTCAGCTCAGAATTTACCCGTGGAATTCAGCCATCTCATCCACGGGATCTTCTCTTCGATGAGAGCTGGAGGTTTGTACAGAATTTTAACGATAGTCAGTAGGCGTTGGCCTGATGTTATTGTACTATGGCTAGCTCTAGCAAATATGTAAGCACCGATTTCAAAAAAGTCAAGTGTAGATAACATGTTTTTTTGTGATTATTGTGCTAAAGAACCTATGACTATACAATTACATGTAGGTCCTTTCTGCCTGTAAGGCGGGAGTATCCATACCTCGGGTAGTATATTCCCTCCTATTCCTCCTTCACGACTTCTTTCCCGCAGTAATACCCACACAGGTCTTCAATCGAGTACATACTAGAAGGAGCCCTTTGCCCTTCGTTATCTCCCCTCTCCAGCCAACGAAGTGATGGCCATTTGCGCGTGTGTAGCTGCAGGAAAAAGTCTCAAAAACCGCTGGGTGTGGGGCTCTCCTATGACGAAGAGGCCGGCCAGCTGGGCGCCGCAGACATATGGGTGCCTCGGAAAATTCTCTCTCTGCCATTCTAGCCTCCTTCCAACTCCTTCCCGAAGGTCGTGCTGAAATGCCAGAAAAGTCTTGACTGAGCGTCTTTGCTGTATGGTAGGTCAGCCCAACTTCTTTTGCAACGTCCGGGGCTCTAGGGAGTGCCGTTGACTTATCGACAATAAAAGACCTCCTGTCTAGCTTGCCAAAACCTTGGTCTTGGCGCCCAGAAAAAATCCCAAGTTGAAAACTCCTCGAAAATATCGGTCTCAGCATGCTCTTCAGAGATCTCTTTCCCCTCTCGCTCCACATCTCGGCCACCTGTTCTCCCTCAAGTTATTTGCCCCATTAGAGCAACAGTCCTCCATAAGCCAAGACCCAGGCTTTGATTTTTCGACTTGATTTCCTCCTTGCGGGTATAAATAGCTTCGTAAATATGTAGTGAGAGATGGCTAGAAATTAATGGGGCAAGCTCCAGTATGCAATTAGAGCAACTTCTTTATTGGTCGTTGAGGCGAGATGGTGCGTGGTTAGAAAGAGGTTGTGGACTCAGATGAGAATGGTAAGAGAGGCATTGTCGAGAAGTCGTCAATTGGAGATATGCTTGAGGTGGTTTTCGACTTCGACTCGGATGCGATTCTTCTAGGCTATCCCAGATATGCAGAGAATATTGAGCGATTACACTGGCAGCACCGGAAGGTGGAAAAATTGCCTCTGTCTAGCCAGGCATTCTTTAGGAGAAGAGCCTGGAGGACTCATATTCGTTCGAGCTATAATTAGACCCGCAACGATGCAAATCCTTGCCAGCAGAGCGTAATAAGTCATGCGACCTTGCGACGATCTGAGTGGATGAGGTCGGGCGCACTACACAGTCCATGCGTTACTCTTATTTTTAATTTGCATCAGATTTTGAACGCACATGCAGCTATCTAGCTTTGACACAATATCAGAGAAAAAGTACACAATAGACGATTCAGTATGCAAGAGCACTCATGCCTCGGATTTCATTTGCAAGTACTACTACGAGGTTATGGCGGATTTTTCTTCACCGCAAGTCAAGCCTCATGGCTGACAGAGACAATTTTTCCACCTTCCGGTGCTGCCAGTGTAATCGCTCAATATTCTCTGCATATCTGGGATAGCCTAGAAGAATCGCATCCGAGTCGAAGTCGAAAACCACCTCAAGCATATCTCCAATTGACGACTTCTCGACAATGCCTCTCTTACCATTCTCATCTGAGTCCACAACCTCTTTCTAACCACGCACCATCTCGCCTCAACGACCAATAAAGAAGTTGCTCTAATTGCATACTGGAGCTTGCCCCATTAATTTCTAGCCATCTCTCACTACATATTTACGAAGCTATTTATACCCGCAAGGAGGAAATCAAGTCGAAAAATCAAAGCCTGGGTCTTGGCTTATGGAGGACTGTTGCTCTAATGGGGCAAATAACTTGAGGGAGAACAGGTGGCCGAGATGTGGAGCGAGAGGGGAAAGAGATCTCTGAAGAGCATGCTGAGACCGATATTTTCGAGGAGTTTTCAACTTGGGATTTTTTCTGGGCGCCAAGACCAAGGTTTTGGCAAGCTAGACAGGAGGTCTTTTATTGTCGATAAGTCAACGGCACTCCCTAGAGCCCCGGACGTTGCAAAAGAAGTTGGGCTGACCTACCATACAGCAAAGACGCTCAGTCAAGACTTTTCTGGCATTTCAGCACGACCTTCGGGAAGGAGTTGGAAGGAGGCTAGAATGGCAGAGAGAGAATTTTCCGAGGCACCCATATGTCTGCGGCGCCCAGCTGGCCGGCCTCTTCGTCATAGGAGAGCCCCACACCCAGCGGTTTTTGAGACTTTTTCCTGCAGCTACACACGCGCAAATGGCCATCACTTCGTTGGCTGGAGAGGGGAGATAACGAAGGGCAAAGGGCTCCTCTACGTTTATGGTCAAACGAGGACTTGTGAAAAGTGGTACTATGTTAATCAAATAGACACAGTCAGGATGTTTGGGAAAAGAAATTCTCCTGCGCGTTCCCCCGAGCTATGCCTCTTCTCTATGTATACACATCAAATTCCCCCAGCTCCGACCTCACAATTTATCCTTGGTCTAGACTACTTTACTTTTGAATGCAATGAAAAATTTGACCCTATGTCAGGAACTGATTACATTAAA